TTAATTAGGCTTCAAATCTAGTCAGATTTTAGTATCTTTGATAAGTCCAAGTAAATTTGAAATTATAGCTCTTGTGTATACTAATTTTAAAATTATAAAGCATTATCTTTAATATAAGTTATATATATTTTAAAATTTAATAACTTTTTTATTATTTACTCAGTTTTATTTGTATATTCAAAGCATTATCTTCAATATAAGTTATGTATATTTTAAAATTTATTAACTTTTTTATTCTTGATCAAATTTATTTATATAAAAGACGATCAAATTAATATTTTCAACACTTTCATATATTGAATTTTCATATATGATTTAATTTTTCATATATCATACGTCAAGTTAAATTTTTATGTCAAGTTCGGACTATTACTTTCAAAAATGATTTGAACTCTTAAAATAGTACAACATCGCTTGAGGAAGAAAAAATATAAAAATGGTTGAAGTTCTATAACATTTTAGACCATAGGCTCCTATATATGGAATATCTTGACCTACATATACAATGAAAATTTTCTTCCTTGAGGCTTTGGTTTTTATGCTTTTTTATTTTTGTTAGGGCTCCACTTATTTATCAATTTGTAAAATGTAAAAATTGTTGTTAGTCAAAATGAATGACTACACCGTTAAATTTTTTTTCTAGCAAATATACATACTTCCAAACCGAAAGATCATATTCTAGAAAATAACATAGATAAACATACGACATCATAATATAAAATACATATATTTGTTAGAACGATGTAACGAGTTAACTCACCTGATGTTTATGCATGTCTAGCTAGGAGTAAGTAATGACTCATCTAGCACTCGGACACATTTTGAAAAAAAATTATGTATATTCATAATTACTAGCTAGTTTTTTTTTTCATTTCGTTGTATATATAATTGTCACGTATATAATATCATGACCAATACTCGCTGTAATTGATGAAAAATAACAATAGAAATAATGCGCTCATAAAAAAAAAGAAGATATATATATATATATATATATGAGGAAAGTTGAGATTCCATCTCTAATTTTGATGGAAATCTTACATCAATCAAAGAAAATACATCAATCATAGAAATTTAATGATAGAAATGAAAAACATAAAAAAAAATGAACAAACCTAAAAGAACATGGTGCAAAAAAATAAAAATAAAAAAAAATGAAGTATGAAATGGATTTGTGAGTGTGCATGTATGGTGAAAGAACATAAGAGTGACTGATGAATAGCTGCAATATGTGACTTGACCATGTCACTAATCCTAATTCATATTGTACCATCAAGGTAAAATTCCCACTATGTGAGAATCCCCACAAAAAATCAAGTCTTTAATCAGATAAAAACAAAAAGAATATACAAAATAAATAATGAATAGTATAAATTAGCATATTATTATATAGAGAAAAAAAAAAAAGAAATTCAATTTGGAGGGAGATGTAATGGAGGATGATATGAGCATGTGATTAGGAAGCTTATTTACAAACTATTCATGACCCCAATAAAGTGTCCATGTGGTCTCCAATCCCATGAAACTTTGCAACAAAAATGATTAGCCAACTATTGTAGACCACTTTAAAATATCAAAACCAAATTCCCAATACAAGAATGTATATATAAATAAAAAAATAAAATAAAATATAATAAAGGCAACTCCATAAGGGCATCTCCAATAGTAATAGTTATTACTAGCTATGAATAATGCTACTTGTACCTCTTGGTGTACCACTTGGTTTATATCCAAGGGATACATGTACCCATTTACCCTTAATGAATTATTTACTAAATTATTCATTAAGGGTAAATGGGTACATGTACCCCTTGGATGTAAACCAAGTGGTAAACCAAGAGGTACATGTAGCATGATCCTACTAGCTATATGGTTAGCTGACGTGGATGTGAGAGATAAGAAAAATAACTATTTTAAACTATTGGACCCACATACTCCTCTCACATAATCTTGGGCTACGTGAAATAGATAAGCTATTTGTTAGTAGCTAGTGACTACTCTCTCTCTTACTTTTCCCTTGTCCACGTCATAATAGTTAGCCAAATAGCCAACTATTGGAGACGCCCTAATCCCTTTTCTTTGTGGGCTATTGGGCCCCTTCACATTACTTTATAATAAAGTGAAAGTTTGAAAGATTGGGTAAGAGTATTGGAATTAGGGAAAGGTATTATTGTGGCATTCAAAGATGGGATCTTTATTTATATAGTTCCTTTCCCACTTTGGTCATTACAACTATAATTGTCATTTATTCCCCACTAATAAATCATACATTTGAGTGTTAGTTTATATTTGGTGTAGCTATATGTTTGATAAAACTAGCTGATAAGCTATCTCATAGCTTATCAATAATTTTCGGACTTATAGCTTATAGCTTATGACTTATAGATGAAAAGCTAACTTATATGATAAAAGTGTTTAAAAAATTAATTGATAAGTTAGCTGGAATAAAAAATAATCAACTAGCTAATTTAAAAAGCTGTCTAAAGAAGTTTATCAAATAAGTTCGAGCTTTTAAAAAAGCTCGTCATACCAAACGAGACTAATTTGATTACATGGAGCTTATATGCTAACCGAATAAACTATAAACTAACTTATTTGTATATCAAACATATCTAGCACTAGATGATGAATTAGTGTAGTTCAAAATGATGACTTTTGATGCATAATTAAAGGGTTATCTAAGAGTGCCCATAGGTGAAGAATAAACGGAGTATAATTTTGAATGGACACTAGCTTCTTGATTGTTCATTCATTGGGAACTTGAAAGTGAAAGGTACATGTATGTGTGAGGTGATTAAAATAACATGTTTTTATAGGTGATCGATGTATCGTAACATTTAAATAAAAATACATATTTATATACTGTAAAAAAATATATTATTATATATTTTTTTAAAGTGTGAATTTTAATATATATATATGTATATATATATATATATATATATGTATGTTTGATCGCCTGACATTTAAACATAAAGTATGTTTGGTAATTAAGTATCGTAGTTTATAGTTGATTTAATTAGCTCCACATAAGGTTAGTTTGGTAAGACAATTTTTTTTAAAAATATGGAGCTTATCTCATAAATTTCCTAGTTAGTAGTCGTAGAAATTTTTTATTCAGCCGATTCAACTAATTTTACCAACATATTTATTATATTAGTTAATTTTTCGGTCATCAGTCAAACTATGAGTTGTGGGCTCGATATTAACTTATAAGCTAGTTTTTCAGCTCGATTTATCAAACATATTCATGCTAACGATTAGATATATCCATGATTAGCGGTACTTCTATACAGGTTCATACTGATAAATGATTCATTCTCTACCATTTTTTGCAGAATACAATTAAACAACTAGGGAACGACATAATTAAGGGATACGAAAATGAAAGTTCAGACAAGTCTTAAATTCTGAGATGATTATTATGGTGAGAAAATTTACAATGCTTAGAATATGTGGCCAATAAATGGATTCAAAACTTGGATGTAAAGGATAAAACCAAGTAAAAATAGCTAAATCAATTTCCTATGCAAAAAGACCATGTCTTTAGGATAGAGTAAGTTCTATTTTTGTACGTCACATCAGCTAGACCTAGCCCATTTCATTTGTATTGAAAAATATATTTTTATCTACGTTGAATCTATTTACTACGTGTAATTATTTATTTATTTATTTATTGTACCCAGATTATTGTGTATGTTGTTATATTATATATGTGTGTGTGTGTGGTGGATGTTCTTATATTTTTATTGTTGGTTTAAGGTGGACTTTTGAAACACCTTTTTTCATTTATGAGGGAAAATTGTTAAAATAAATGGAGCATCATTCCTGTAATTTTGAATAATATCCACTCTTTCTGTGAATAGGCCCAAGTCTTGCTTATCATATTTGGGCCAGTTTCAGTAAATATAAAAGCCCAACTTATTAGATATTGGATCTCTCTTAGTCAGTTTGCCGTAAAAGAACGGGAAATTTGTATCTCTCCTACATGATATGAAAAATATTGCAACAATACCACCCCTATTAAATTAATTGTATATTTACCTAAAAGATAAAATTAACTTCATTAATACCTAATTTAGTTACCATATCAATTCAACTTCATCTCCTTCTTTTTTGCGCGTGATTTGCGTCAGTTTTCAAGAAAATAAAAAAACAAAAAAACTCTCCTTTTCAGTGTCTTTATTTGCATCTTTATTTTTATTTTTTTTTTTGCGTCTTTGTTTTTTTTATTCCAGTGTCTTTATTTTTTTCTTTATTTGCATCTT